ATGGCAGCCACTGAAGAGTCGGGTAGTCGCTTCGACTTCCTTCCTTCGTCCGAGTTACGTAACTATTGGTGCCGGCTGCCGGTGCCTCGTGGCAGGGGTAGAGCCGGTTGGTTAGGTATTGGTGGCGCTCCAGGATGGCAGCCACCGAAGAGTCGGGTAGTCGCTTCCACCTCTTTCCTTGTCCGAAGTTTACGGTGGGAGATACTTATCCCCGTTGTTATGGCCCTTAAGGCACAATAACCAAATTCAACAAATAGAATAAATATAACGGCTGAGGCCGAAGTTTTATGATCGAGCCAGTGCTCTCTATTTCAAATCCGAATTAAAACTAAAACTAAGAACTAACAAAAGCTCATGCATAGCCGGCTGCCCGCGCAGACGCTGACCTTCACATCTTGCAGAAGTCAAACGATCGCAGTCAGCCAACGAAACGGAGCCACGGCTCGGAACGGTACAATGTGCTGGCTCAGCTTAGGGCCCACAAGGTGGACCCAATTTAGGGTGGACCATGCATGAGAGGAAAGTGTAATAATAATAACAATATAATATTAACAAGGGGAATAAGAATTGGCCTGCTCAGCCTAAGCTGGGAGTTGGTTGTTAACTTATATACAGTTCCTACAAAACTCGGCAGTGAATTTAAGTCCTGCTCACAGTTTTATGTTTATATGTAATAAACCCAATACATTTTTTTTGGAGGAATTAAATTTTTTAATTTTTAAAATTTAAAATTTAGATATTGTTTGAAATTTATTAAGGAAGCATTTTGAGCATTTTGGAAATAAATTTATTTAACCCTTGTGTCCGACTGTTTTTACTTGGAATATGTTATTTATTTATATTAACCTAAAATGTCTGAAAAAGAAAAGGAAGCATCGTCAAAGCCTAGTGCTAAACTAATAGTGTCTATGGAAAAACACGGCAGGGTAATGAGTGACATTCAACGTATGAGAACGTCATTCGAGGAAAAAACCATTTCATTCGATAGGTTTCAAATGGAATACCGAATGCAACTTCTCGAAACATATTGCGAGAAATTGCTGGATATCCAAGGAGATATCGATGTGCTAAATCCAGTGAATGATTTAAGAGCGTCTGTTGAGGAGATGTGCATAATTACAAAAGCGTTATATCGGTCTGCAATGAGAGAATTCGAGCCTCAGAGACTTAGTCAAAGTGATATAGGTGGTTATCTTCATTCGTCTCAGTTACCAAAAATGAATCTACCGAAATTTAGTGGAAAACATTCTGTCCTTGGGTAGTGAAAAGGAAATAAACAATGCAATTTTTATTCACATATCAATGTCCAAAGTAGATCACACAACAAAATTCAGATTTGAGGAACAGCTAAATTATAATACGTTGCCGACATGGTCTGATTGTGCGACTCTGTTGATTCGGCGATATCAACATTTAGCTGCTGAAGAGTCAACCAAAAGTAAAGAGAAGCCTAACCAAGGTTCCAAAAGAGGATATTCCAAATCGTCCTTCTCATGCATACAAACATATCGCTGACCTGAATCAAAATGTCTATATTGCTCAGCGACAAACCATAGTTTAGGCAGTTGTCAACCTTTCATGGCTTTATCAGAGATCCAACGGTTCGATTTTACGAAACACAATCAGTTGTGTATTAATTGTCTGAATCCAGGTCATCCAGTCAAGAAGTGCAAAGCAGTAAAGTGTCGCGTTTGCTCCAAACCTCATAACACACTTCTTCACAGATACGGAGTAGAGCAGCAACCAACTTCTTCGGGATCACTTCCTCAAGCGCAAGCCCAAGCACCTTCAGTAGCATTTGATCATCCCAATTAAGCCCATTCTTGTCATGTTGCAAGTAGTGACCAAGTTAGTCTTGCTACGGCTGTCGTTAAGGTACGGGATAGATTTGGACAGTTTCAATTAGCACGAGCTCTGTTAGACTCAGGGTCTCAAATAAACTTCATGGCCGAGGACTTAGCACAGCGTTTGCGGTTACGCAGGAAAGAATCCAAATTGAATATTACTATTGTAGGGAAGAACAACTCGGTAGTACGGCACCAAGTCCACGGGTCGATTCATTCTCGCGTCAATGCTAATAGTTTCGCTACTGATTTTTGGGTATTAAGCTCCATTTCATCATATCAACCAGATAACGAAGTCAATTGTGAACAGTGGAAAATTCCAGCAAATATTGAATTAGCAGACCCTCGTTTTCACAAGCCTGCAAAAGTAGACTTACTAATTGGGGCAGATTCCTTTTTCGAACTTCTCAGCGTAGGCCAAATAAAATTGGGTTCAGAACATCCTTCAATCCAGAAAACTTTATTAGGATGGATTGTTCATTGTGGGAAAGTACACTCAACGCGTATCGAATAATGCTCAAGTATGCAGCGTCACTGGTGGTGAAAATATAAGTTCTCTCGACTCTCTTGTAGAACGTTTTTGGGAATTGGATCACGTCCCGGAGAGATCGAAGGCTGTGTATACAGCTGAACAAGTTGCTTGCGAGCAGCACTTTAAGAAAACAGTACACAGGCTTTCGTCAGGTCGTTTTGAGGTAAAGTTGCCATTTAAGACAAATCCAAGTGTTTTAGGCTTATCCTTCGAAACGGCAAGGCGCTGATTTCTTGCGTTGGAGCGCAAGCTTGCAAATAATAGCGAGTTACATGACATGTTTCAAGAGTTTATGATAGAGTATCTTAACCTTGGGCATATGTCGCTGCTTCCAACACCTCCTCCAGGACAACACTATTACATTCCCTATCAATGTGTCCTGAGACCTTATAGTAGCACCACAAAGTTGCGAGTTGTTTTTGACGCTTCAAGTAAGACGTCAACCTCGATCTCATTAAATGAGACTCTAATGGTGGGTGCAACGATTCAGAGGGAGCTTTACGCTATTTTGGCAAGATTTCGATTACACAAATATGCCTTGACTGCTGATATCTCGAAGATGTTTAGGCAAGTTAACATTGCCAATGAAGACAGAAATTTCCAACTTATCGTGTGGAGGGAAAAGTCGACGCAAGCTCTCCAAACCTATCGCCTCAACACTGTCACTTATGGAACAGCCTCTGCTCCATTTTTGGTCATTCGTTGCCTCTTTGAACTGGCAAAAATTTACTTTGAGTCACATCCTGTCGCATCAGAGGTAATTTCAAGTGACTTCTATGTAGACGATATGCTCACAGGAGCAAACATCTTAGAAGAGTTGGAAGTCATTCGCAAAGAAGTGACCAAGGTGTTAGAGTTCGGGGGTTTCCAGCTAGCCAAATGGGCAACAAATCACCCAAGTGTGATGACTAACCAGGGATCAGAAAAATCGCTTATGTTCAACACTTCCGAGTCTGTGAAAACGCTTGGGATGATTCGGAACCCTCAGAGTGATGCCTTTCATTATAGTTTGGAGGATTCGTTTCAGACCCTACGACCAACTAAACGCTACATTTTATCCGTCACAGCCCGTTTGTTTGATCCCTTGGGATTGTTGTGCCCGCTGATCACGAGAGCTAAAATCTTGCTTCAGGAACTTTGGCGACAAAAACTGGATTGGGACGAATCGGTTCCCATGAATTTACATACCAGTTAGAATGAATTCAAACAGAATTTACTAGAAATTGACCGGATATCCATTCCTCGATACATTTGTTTGTCTTCCTATGACAGTGTTCAAATCCACGGATATGCTGATGCATCGTCACGCCTATGGCTGTTGCATTTATATTCGTACCGTGTCTGGGACAAATAGTTTGTCAAGACTGCTGACCGCCAAGTCGACAGTGTCCCCCCTCAAAACCAAATCGATTCCAAGGGTCGAGCTGTGTGCAGCGCATCTGCTAGCCAAATTATGGGCTCAAGTATTTCCATTGCTTAACAAAATAGAGTTTGAATGCCTCAACTTCTGGTCGGATTCCCAAGTCACTTTATACTGGCTAAAGAGGGATCTGTCCACTCTAGCTACATTTGTTGCGAATAGAGTTTCTGAAATTCAAGAGCTCTCAGAGAATGTTGTCAGGCGGCATGTGCCCACGGAATATAGTCCATCCGATTTGGTATCACGTGCAACAGATATAAAGGGTTTAAAATGTACGCTATGGGAAAATGGACCAGCATTTTTACTCCGACATCCTAACGAGTGGCCTCGTTCTCATCAGACTGAAGTTTCACCGGAGTTACAGTTGTCCGAGAACAAGAAAAGCGTGGCAGTATGTTCCGACACAACAAATCAACCGAATGTCTTCATTGAGCTTGTTGGAAGATGTTCGTCATTCAATAAACTCCTGCGGATTATGGCATATGTAAATAGGTTTATTCAAGGGAAGAAAAATAATCGCGATATTGTTATTTCGGCCAACGAACTGAAGTTATCGTTTCTAGGAATGGTCCAAGTATATCAAAGAGCTGATTTTGGTTTAAAATATGTCAAGCTAGAGAAATCTGAAACTTTAAGCCCACATCTTCAACGTCTAAAATTTCTTACACATTAGCAAACTAGGAGGCGTAACACTTCAATTAATCCGAGGTGGGGGAGGGTGTTAAATGCACAAATTTCGTATGATGCCAAATTTCCAATATTACTGTCCTCAAAATCAGAATTTGTTTCGCTATTTCTTCGTGACCTGCTTCGTACTCATTACCATGCTGGAGCCAAGGTGATGGTATAACTTTCGAGACAGCAGATATGGCTAATCAATGCGCGAGAAGCGTGCGCGAAAGTTGTCCGTAGCTGTGTCCACTGTTTCAAATACAAACCAGTGCAAATGGGTCAGATAATGGGCAATTTGCCAGCCGATAGGGTCAAGATAGCACGCCCCTTTTTGGCTTGCGGGGTAGATTTTTGCGGACCATTTTATGTGTCACTAAAGATCCGCGGTAAACCTCCTATCAAGACTTATGTTGCCGTTTTCGTGTGTTTTTCGTCAAAGGCTGTTCACCTTGAGCTCGTTGTAGATTTATCCACTGACAGCTTCTTATCCGTTTTTAAAAGGTTCGTCGGGAGGAGAGGGCTGCCGCAGAAGATGTACAGCGACAACGCCACGAACATCTTGGGAGCGAGCAACGTGCTAAAGGATCTGAGCGCAGCGTTTCACCGCAGTCAGGAACAGTTGAGAGGATACGCGGCTCAGAGAGGCGTCGAGTGGTATTTCATACCGCCGAGGTCACCACACTTCGAAGGACTGTGGGAGGCAGCAGTCAAGGCCGCCAAACACCGGCTGCTGCGAGGAGTCGGCAACGCCAAGCTGACAGCGGACGAGCTCAGCACCCACCTGGTCGAGGTAGAAGCGCTGCTCAATTCTCGACCAATCGCGTCGCCAGGCAACGATCTCAACGATGGAGAGGCCCTGACTCCAGGACATCTGCTTATCGGACAGCCTCTAATCACGCTGCCGCAAGATGCCGGCACAGGCGGAATCTCCAGCAAGGCCAGTTGCGGATATTTGAGGCGGTGGCGAATGCTGTCCGATCTCAAGCAGCAGTTTTGGGCCAGTTGGTCCAAGGACTACATCGCCAGCATGCAGCATCGCAACTAGTGGTGGGTCGAGGGCCGCGATCTGGAGGTCGGGTGCCTGGTGCTCGTGCACGAGGTCAACATGCCCCCGCAAAGGTGGCTGACAGGCCGCGTGGTGGCAACAACAGTCGGTGAGGACGGAAGAGTGCGTGTGGCGGAGGTACGTACGTCACGAGGCGTCATCAAGCGCGCCATCAACAAGCTGGCATTGCTGCCAGTAAGCAACGCTCCTGACGAGAAAGTTAAAGCGCCGGAGGCCTTCAACGGGGCCGGAATGTTGGAGCAGTAGATTAAGTTTTATTGTTAGTTTTAAGGATAGATGAAAAGAAAGAATTAATTGAATATATGCAGCCAAAATGTAAACAAATCACCTTAAACCAATGTACAAAAGCTTATCAGTTGCACTCAAGCTTGAGCATAGCCGAGTTGTTGTGATCTAACTGATAAGCTTTTCTGTTCGTGGCTATGCGAAATGGTATGCTGCTCTCGGGAGAACATTAACCGATCGAACCTCGAAGCGGCTGGCAGCAATAAACTTTGGAACCAACTTCGTTTCGTTTCTTTTTCGCTCTTTTGGAAATTCCCCAGCCGCTAGTCGCAAGTCTTTTTACTTTAAATTTTACAAGTAATTTTTCCGGGAAAACTCTCCCGGATTTTCAAATATAATTCCCGCCATCCTGTAAGGAAATGACAGGTTAAATCTACTGGACATGTTATAAGTGTGTTCTTGTGTTAGGTGTGTTATGTGCGAGTAAATTGGAGAAAAATTTTATTTAAGGTTGTCCTTGTGGACTACCCTCCCTCCAATGAGGACCTCTGTCCCCAGGTCCGCTTCTACGCGTTTTTCCGTGTATAGCGGAGTTAGCTTTTTGCCTAGTCTTTTATTGTTCTTTAAGTAGACTCTTTCTCCTACCTCAAATATTCTGCTTTGTTCTATTTTGTCTTGATGCGTTACACCTGTCAAGATTATCCCGCTGTGCTTTTTCAATATTCATTTTTATTTCTTTCTTAACTGTGTCGGAAGCAGAGTGGATTACATCAATGGGAAAGTTGCCAAGCGTTGACAACTTTTGGGTAAATGACTGGTCTTAGTGTTTTAAAAGGGTCGATTTTTCAGTGAAATGTATAATATGACGGGATTTATCGCTTTAAGGAATACATTGCCTCTTCAAGGATTGTCTGAATTCTGAAACAATTTAAAGGATTTTCCGTTGTTTGTATCGTATAAGTGCTAGATTCTTCACTGTGAACTGTTCCACAATAAGATTCGGGTTCGTTTTGAAGGGCATTGATATTTTGTCGCGAAAGGGCGTTGGCGACAAAATTTTCTTTGCCCGGAGTGTATATTACTTTTGCGAGTTTTGGATATCATCGTTATGGGTTTTTTTGTCTTGTGACAGTACAGCCTCGATGCCGTAAGCTGACGCATCGGTTGTCAGATCAAACGGTTTCTTAAAGTCTGGGTATTTGCGGGTGACATCTTCTATCGAATTCGTCTCTTTGCTGATCGTTAAAATGTATTTGTATTTTCCTTGACATGTGTTTACTTACGGAACCGTTTTCTGTCTTAAGGAGGTTGGTTAGTGGCCTGGCTATTGTACCGAAATCTTTTATGAAACACCTATAATAGCTGGCAAGTCCTAGGAATGATCTTAGTGAGAATAAGCTTGTCGGTTTTTTGTATTCGTTAATGGCTGCTACCTTTTCAGGGTCAGTTGTAGCCCCGTTTTGGGTTACTACGAAGCCGAGGTATTGGGCACTTTCCTTGAAAAATGGGTTTTCTCTTTCGAGATGCTCATATTGGCTTGGCCTAATTTTTTCAGGACTCAGTCAATGTGACTGATATGCTCTTTTTCGTTTTCCGAAAAGATTATGACATCGTCAATATAGACGTAACAGGATTTCCCTATCTGCTCTCTCAATACGTCATCGATTGCTCATTGAAAAATGATACCAGCATTTTTTAATCCAAAAGGCAAACGGACGAATTCATACTGTCCTCCGTTGACTGAAAATGAGGTTTTTTCGCGATCTTTTTCCGCGAGGAAAATTTGGTGATAGCCAGATTTTAAGTCTAGAGTTGTAAAATATTATATTTGTCTTTGCCAAGGTTTGACAGTATTAGCTCGATACTTTGCAAGGGGTATTTATCAAGAATGGTTTTTTCGTTCAGTTTCCTGACGTCGATTACCAAAAGCTTTTTCCTACCACCTGTCTCGTCTGACCCTTTTTTATAGACCACCAAAGTTGGATTATTATACGGTGATCTCGACGTGGTTATAATATTAGACTTCAGTAGGTCTTATATTTCTTTATTAACGAACTCTGCGACACCCATTGGGTGTGGACACGTTTTGAAGTACACTGGGTTGTTATCTTCGGTGCGAATAGTTGCCACAACATTTGTGGTGTACGGCAAGGTTTAAGTTGGAACGACTATGTCTTTCATGTTGGTAAAGTTCCATTCTCACGCTTTTGCCGTCGCAATTCTGCCGTTCTGTCGCTGCGCTGTCGCTCTGACGCCGCTGACTTTTGCTGTCTGCACTACCGCTGCTGTGTCTCTGCTGGTCGTCGGGTTGTCTGAGTGGGGTGATGAGGCAAGTCGCGGTGTCTGGTATCCGGGTCGAGAGGCGGTGAAGGGAAGGAGGCGCTTGGCCGGTGTTAACTTATATATATATATACATATCAAGACTCATAAAATTTATAAAAAAAATAATTAAATAAAAAAAGAACAAAATGAAAAACAAAATGAATAACCAATTCGAGTGTTGTCATTCATGCCAATTGTTTGTTATTAAAAACAAGTCGGCAAACCATGTCCGTACGAAGATGCATAAGAGGAATGCAATTCAACCCATCGATGGATGTACCAACTCAATTAACTGAAGGAGAAAAGGGATACAAGGAGTGTAACGTTACAGTAATTATATCTGAGAACATAATTCCAAGATATTTCTATTCATATTTCAAAGTTGGATTGTTGAGATTCTCTTTAAGTATAAAAAGGAAAGCAATCAAATTGCTCAGCAGCAATTCTTTAGTACCAACTCGTACTTATCACCAAGAGCGTAATATCCGTGGAATTAATCGATTCGGTTCACGCTTTGGAACTGTTGACTTATGTCAAAATCGGTGACCAAGAATCCGATGTGGTGATCATCGGAGCCAAACCGTATAATGGCTATAGACGAAGAAAACACCATAGACAGGAATCTGAGGGAAGTATTCGCCCCCTATTAATCACTAACGCAAGCGATTCCACAGAAGTTGGAATCCCTGAAATGGGAAGATTTCCCATTTGGAGAAGAAACGAGGGATGTCATTGAGTTTTTGAATGAGCACTTTCAAGGTGCTCAAAGGTTTGGTATAGATGACCCGGAAGAAATTGTTTTTCCAGACGACGACTACCTCTTTGACGATGTTAAACTGGATAATACAAAAAATCAGTATCTAAAATTACAGAAAGAGGAAGACGATGAGTTTTTAATTAATGTTTCCAATAACTTAGATATTTAAATAAAAAAAATTGAATACAAATAAAATAAAATAAAAAAAATGTTTAAATTCAAATATACAAATCTTTTATTTTTCGGTCTAACTAGAATAAAAAAAACAAATATGTACTTTAACAAAAAATAGGGTTATATTATAATTTCTTTATTTTAGTGTTTTTGTTTTTGTGTCTGGTTCTTAGTTTTCAATATACTATGAAATCATTAAGTACTTGTCTGCAGGCAGTCATTTAAGGTTTTCTTTCCTGCCTATTTAATGAATTATATTCTTCTAATTCTTTTTTCTAGATTATAATATATATTCATAATGTTTGCTGCCCCCCTTTCGTATTCAATTTTTTTTTTGATACCCACAAGTGTCGATTTCTTCCTTAGCTGAATCCTTACTCCAGATACATGTTTCTCGGTGTATGGATAGAAGTTATCACTCAAGTAGTTTTGTATTTAAAGAGAAGTCGCAGATAGTGAGAATTTAGAAGAACTCCATCACACTGTTTATTGGGTCCCGCTCCCCTCTTTCCACAGAAAGATCGGAGCGAACAACGCCGCCTCTGAAGGGACGACGTCCTTCAGGATTGTACAGCTAGAAGCGCCAATCTATGGATGGCTCGCCGGTACGTTCTCTTCGTTCTCGGCTCCACTCGGACCTTGCCGTCAGCGCCGACGTGCACCGCCATTTCGCTCCCGATCCATGCATGTTGTCTTCTCCTACGACGAAGAGCGCTCCCACGTCGACGTTTGGGACCTCCTGGTTCCACTTTGGCCGTCTCTGCAGGCTCGAGACGTACTCCCAGGACCATCGTTGCCAAAACCTGTGCTTGTGACACAAGACATTGCGCCATCGCCGCAAGCAGATTGGGCTGATCTGGTCTGGGAGCGACGACGTTGGTGGAGCCAACAGCGGGCCGCCGATCAGAAGATGTCCGGGGGATAGGGTTTCGCCGTCGATGGGGTCGATGCTTAGCGCTCCGATTGGCCTCGAGTTTAGGACCGCCTCCACGCTGGCGATGAGAGCTCCTCTGCGGTCAAGAGGTCGTTGCCGACCGTTCGAAGGAACAAGTGCTTTGCAGACTTCACACCTCCTTCCATTAGAACGCCGAAGTGAGATGCTCTGGGCGGTACGAACGCAAACTCGCATCCTTTTATTGATGCGAATGCCATCAGACCGTCCTCCTACTCCTCCAGACGATCCCGGAACTCTTTCAGGTGGCGGTCTGCGCCGACGAAGCTGGTCGCGTTGTCGCACCACACCTTCTCCGGGATCCCGCGGCGACTCACGAACCTTTGAAAAGCCAATAAATAAGCATCAGTGGTGAGGTCAGACACTAACTCTAAGTGGACCGCTTTGTACGACTTGTACGGTGGCATACCATGAATAGGATAGGTTGTGCTAAATGGTTCAGAAAAATAAACGACAGATATTAAAAGAGCGAAGAGCTCGAAGTCTGCCTGATGACAAGTTCCCCATTATTCGCGTCAAGTGTTGCGGCTTGCACCGGAAGCAGCGCGT